AAAAAAAAAAAAAAAAAAAAAAAAGGAAACTTTAAAATGTTCCAAATCCATCCCTCCAAGAATATTTTAAAGGAATCTTTTTATACCAATTCCCAAATGGTGAAAGGCAAGCAATGGCAAATGAAATGTCAGTGGTATGGTTCCTCAGAATGGATATCCTTTAAAACACAGTAGCAAGAATGAGCTAAATACTGTTCCTCCCCCTCCCCCAGCAATCAGTTGCAACATTTCAGATCCATCTGGAGTCACCATTAAGTTCCTAAAAATCACATTGTCCAAATATAGGTGAAGTTTGAGTTTAACTCTGGGACCCTAGTTTCTTGAAATAGATGCACGCCTCACTGTCTGTCTGTGTACTATATGGGTGCTGGGAGGCCAGGATTCAGGAGGTTTTCAGTTACTGCCAGCATTGTTGCCAAGGGATGTCTCCTTACCTCTGAGCAGGGGACAGATGATGGCTATATACAGACCAGCCTGTGATTTTTATGGGTCTTGGTTATAGGCACGCTGTTGGAGTTCTTTTCTTATCTGTCTTAGTGTAAACTGATCATTGAATCATCCATTTCAGAGCATTATTTGGTCTGGTTTTAGATACTAGGAGTCTCTGTGGTAGTGTTTTGGATGACTTCATTGCCTTGTGGGTCTACAGGGGCTGTTCTAAGAATCAAAAATGTTGAAATAAAACCTCACTGACACGTTAGCAAAATTGGGCAACTGTTAGGCTCTCATATCAGTTGTTTTTCTCACTTTGGTTTTGTTTGTTTTAACAATCCCCAGGAGTGGTGGTGGTGGGGTCTTACTAATAAGAAATCTTTTGAAATCTCTAAGGTAGGGATATCTTGCATCTGTGCTATGAATTCTGGGAAACGCAAAACAATTTTCATATGGCATCTTTTCATAAAAACAGTTAAGCATTTTCTCTTGCCTGTAAGTACATAATTCATTTTCATAAAGTGGCTTACAGAGTCCAAGACAATATATTTAGTTTTTGCTTATCAAAGATAATCTTTGGAAAACTGAGATGTCTTCGCCACCCAAGGTCTAGAGAATGTTGTCCTTGTGTTTTGTTTTTTTCCTGGTGATAATGTGGGCAAGGACATGCATCCTAATTGGAAGATAGGAAGGTTGTCTTTCCACTTAGAGGATTTATGCTCCTTAGAGTTGGCCTTGACTTTGGACTAAGTTGTATTCACATTTCTAAGAAAAAAAAAAGATTTGTTTTTAATTTTCTTATAAAATTACACCTAGCATGTTTACTGAGGTGTACGGATAACCTCAGAATATCTCTAATGAGAAGATGTGGCAGAACTGATGAGACCAATTGACTTTCCTGTTTTTAGGAGAGGGATCAGTGAGGTGTAAGGCACAGTGTCTACATATGGGATGTGACAGACAGAGATTTACTTGCACTTCCTCACCCCTCCAGGAAGACTGACTATTCAGCACAGTTTGAAAGAAACACAATGAAAGCAGAAAAGGACAGGGCTGCATGGACCGGTATGTGGTCAAGCATGGGTCTGAAGAGGCCACTGAAGCCCCAGGAACTACACTGATAGATTTTTAGTTCTGAGTCGTCATCTATGGATTTCTTTCCCAGAAATGATGACATCTTTAGACCAGAAGTGTGCTTTCTAGTTTAATTAGATGGAGCCATTTTGTTTCTGTTTCTGCCATTAGAATTTTCCTGCTATTCTACAATGGGTTCCTTACCCAGAGTTAATGGGCAATTAACCTGGAGTTCATGGTACCTGCAATGGGTGTGTTTCCTTACCATTGTCTGCAAAATGTCATGTGATGTGTGATGTGTGATGTGTGATGTGTGTGGGGGGGGTACAGGGGGAGAAGAGAAGGTTCATACTCACATTGAGTTCTCAAATGCTCTGTGACTCCCAAAGATTAGCAAAGAAGCCACTGATCTAGAGACTAGCCCTTGCTCCTTTAATTGGGATGCATCCCTTTTGGCCCTATTAGCCTTTATGGATCACATCACCCCTATGTTCAGTTCCTTATTGCTTTTGAAGCCTCTGGATTCAGCTGATATGTGGATTTTTTTTTTTTTTTTGATACCAGGAGTTGAACTCAGGGCACTCAACCACCTAGCCACATCCCCAGCCCTATTTTTTCTGTATTCTATTTAGAGACAGGGTCTCACTGAGTTGCTTAGCACCTCGCTTTTGCTGAGGCTGGCTTTGAATTCATGATCCTCCTGCCTCAGCTTATTTATTTATTTAGTTGTAGATGGACACCATACCTTTATTGTATTTATTTATTTATTTTTATGTGGTGCTGGGGATTGAACCCAGTGCCTCATATGTGCTAGGCGGGTGCTCTACCACTGAGCCACAACCCCAGCCCTTAATATATGGCTTTTTATGTGTAAATTTGATAAAGGCTTGAGGGTCAACTCCTCAAACTAAGGAGTTTGAATTTCTAAGCTAGAAATTGTTGGATACCATTTGTTGTATCGTTTCTCCCTTCTTTGCTGCAATCTGCCTTAGCTCTGGTCCGTAGACCACCATCACTGGACAATCTGATGGTAAAGAACTACAGAAGGATGTTCTTATGAATTTAACTACTATCTATCCTGAGCTATAATTGATCCATATAGAGGACCCTTCCATCCTTTCTCCAGCCTAGGAGAAATTAGGCAATTTAGGCAGGAATTCTTTGAGATATTCCAGGTCTGTTCTCCCCACATTCCCAGGAGCTGTTATCCTCTCAATCTTTGCTGGTTGTTTCAGTTGTGCCCTGTCTTTCCTGCAGCACATTTGCCCAAATGGAAGGAGGTATAGAAAAGCAAGGGTATTGAGGCATTAGGTGAGCGGACGCTTTCAGGTCTCTTTGTTCTTGCCAAATGATCTTTTACAAAAAGTATTGGGTATTTTTCTTTTAATTTCCCAATTGTAGTGTGAATTCTTCTTTGCCAAATGGCTTTTGGGGCTTTGCCTGGGATCTGTGTTCCAGAATCAGAGGTTCATCTTGGCCAGACACTGCCACATATTGAAGAAGGAGCCATTTCCAGGAAAGCTCATAGAGCTGAGACTCCTAGAAATCTTTCCCCGATTGTCTGAGCCAGGCCTTGACACTTTGGACCATCTGGAAAATTTTGGACCTGAGTATGAATATCTGTTTCATACATCTCATTTCATAAGCTTTTCTAAAAAAAAAATTCTTGTTCATTTGAGATATATACTTATTTATTTTGTAGTGTGCATTTTGCCCCAAACTTATGTATATCTGTGAAATTTAAGGATGGTATGCCTGAAAACGACAAAGAAAATCATCAGAAAAAGGGTTGATGTGCCCTCTGCAGATGTTCTGTACCTTCCCAGCCTAAGCCCTTTTTGTCCTTTCTCTCCCTTATTACTCTCTGGTGAGTTCACCATCAGTTTAAGTATGTGATTCTTTGTTTCACTTCACCCCTCTGAACAGAAAGCCCCTGCGGACAGGTTATTAAAAGCATGATTTTGCTTTTCTGTGTTCATGTTGACTGCCCTTGGCTCAAGTGCTCTGGGAAGACACTGAGTCCACGTTTTCTGGCTTTGCTGACAGGTGCCTTTTGATGATGCTAATGATGATAATGGTAACTTATAATAGTATTTGATCCTTCCTCAAAACTGACCATAGTGTTTTCCTGTCCAGGCTCATAGTTCCCCCTGACCCCCAGGGAACTCTGTACAATCAGTGTTTATTTGGTGTGTTTTCTGCCTCATTTCTTTGGAAAACCCCTTCCCACTAGTAGCTGAGAGAGTGAGAACCCTGGCAGCTCCCTTGGCAGCCCCTTTCTTTCTCTCTTGGCACTTTCTCTGTCAGAACTCACTTAACTTTATAGAGCTTGGAGCTTACCTGAGACCGGAGAAAGTCCTTTCTCTTAAGGTCCAGAGGGATAATCCACCCTGAGGGGATCCTGTTCTTTAATTCTCAGCCACTTGACCTGAAGGATAAGCCAGTCCTGAAGGAGGAGGGTACCTTTTATTCTGCCATTGTCAATTTTGAAAATAAAACAAAAAAGTGTTTTGTTTATTTGTGTTTTATTCTTGGGAACTGAGTCATGTTTGGCTGAGATTAGGCATATAAAATAGCCACTTTGTGGTTAAAAATATAGGGGGAGTAGAGAAGCAAAAAGGCCCAATATTGGCAGTATCATCTAGCTCAACATGAAACATCTTATTCACAGATTGAGAACTAGCTTATAGCTTCTTCTCTTAATGGTGAGTAGTGGAAAGATATCCAGATGCTGCTCTGAGTTATCTGCCTGGAAAGCTAGTGCTAACATCTCTCCCCTCTTTCTGTGGCTGCCTAGGTCACTCTGCACCTGAATCCTATCTCCTCAGTGCACATTCACCACAAGCCTATTGTGTTCCTGCTCAACTCCCCACAACCCCTGGTGTGGCATTTGAAGACAGAGAGACTTGCCACTGGGATCTCCAGACTTTTCTTGGTAAGTGTTTCAAACCCTCCCAAAGTGGTCCTTATTACGAGGTTATAATGACCCCAAACTTTGCAAATCTTTTAAAAAGGGTCTCTTTTCATCGAAATAATACCATTGTTCCGAGAGTGGAGTTGAAAGTGGAGTTGTACACTTGGAGGTAGTTGAATGGCATAGAATGGCATTTGCAAGAAGCAAGCACCACCTACATGTCCTCTGTAGTCTTGTTTTCATGGCAGAGGAGGACCTGGAATCATAGGCTGAGTGGCCTGAGCTTTGGTCTCATCTCAGAGATCCCCTTGTGGCATCGGGAGTACTGTAAATACTGCAAACAGCCACCGGGTGTGTGGTCTCTGACCAAAATAAATATGCACAAACCCATTCTATTTGTATATAACAGAGGCCTAATTTCTGATATGAAAAACTGTTTGTTGAGAAATGACACAGTGAGCTCCAAAATGAAATCATTTGTATTTTGTTAAAAAAAAAAAAAAGCTGGAACCTAGTTCTGTGGAAAGATCCAAATATTACCTACTATTTGTAAATCATGTCCTTTGGAGTTTGCCAGAACATTCAAGTTTGCTAGTTGTGGAGAAATAGATGGGTTGTTTGGATGGAATTTTTGGGGTATGATATCATGTCTGATGATGAGCAACACTGCAGTGTGAGTGATAACTCAGGCTGTCCACTGTGAGAGCTCCTTGCTGTAGTCCTCATGTATGGCCTTAAGCGTTTACACCTCTCCTGATTGTAGCCATCTAAGGTGAGTGGAGTCCTCAATTAAGAGTTTACCTCTGACCTAATTAATGACCTTTCCTTTGCCCATTTAATGACCTTAATTCAAATCTGTAATTTCTTGTCACCTGCATTTGAAGAATATTTTTAAAAACTCCCACAGAATAAACTAAGAATCCATAGTCAATGTAGTTATTAAGTAGGTAAATAAATTAGGAAAAAAAGGAGAGAAGAGCAAATTCCTCTTTATAGTAGACTGCCAATTAAGAAATATGGAAGAAATGATGAAGTTAGGAAATCATCGTTTTGCAATCATCATAGTAAAAGTTATTCAGGCACAAATCATCAACAGATGTCAAATCCAGTGGAGGTGGAGGGAGTCTGAGGAACAGTATGTTTGTATATTCTCCAAATATCTTTTAAACAGATTACTTATTAAATATGGAAGAAAAGAACAACAGTAGAGATACCCAGAAATATTTCAATAAAGTGATCAGAATCAATGTCACCAACATGGGGCAGGTGAACATTGTGTGCCTGAAAATGAGCAAGAACCCAGCATCACTTAGGTAGGATTCTGGCCAAAAGTGTGTAGAAGCTGAATCTAATCATGAGGTGACACTGGACAAAACCAAACTGAGTGGCTTCCTATACAATAACAGGCTTGTCCTCTTTATGTTTATCATGAAATTGAAAGAAAGGCTGAGGAGCTATTTCAGGTTAAATAAGACTAAAGAGACAATATGATCCTGAAGGATGTTATAAGGACAGTAGATGAAATTAGGAGTGTACCTATAGATTAAGTATTATTTTAATGTTATATTTCTTGCATTTAATAACGATACTATTGTTACATAAGAGAACGTCCTTAAGAAATATACCTGATACATTTTAAGTGCTAAGGAGCCAAGGCTCAAGTAGTTCAGGGAAAAACAAAAACAAAAGCATATAGAGAGAACATGGCAAGGTGTTAAAAACTGGTGAATCTAGTCAAAGAGTATGCTAGATTCCTTTTTTCTATACTTGAAACCTGGCTATTAGTTTGAATTAATTTCAAAATGAAACATTGAAAAACTCAAAAGATACATTTATAAGGTGGGAGTTACTAAGAATTTAAATTATAAATTTTTCTGAGAATTGAAACTCTTAATACTTCTATTAAAAAGGTCAAAACAGTAATAATTTAGTTATTATTAATAAATTTATAGCCAGGCATGATAGCACATACCTGTAATCCTTGGGACTCAGGAGGCTAAGATAGGAGGATATCAAGTTTGAGGCCAGCCTGAGGAACTGAACATGACTCTGTCTCAAAATAAAAAATAAAAAGGACTGAGGACGTAGCTCAGTGATGGAGTACCCCTGCGTTCAGTCCCCAGTACCAGGGGTGGGGAGAGTACATTTATTTAGTCCTTAGTACCTTTTAGGAATTGTACTAAGAGCGCCAATAGTTTATCTCATTTAATTCTCACAATACCCCAAGGATCCTAGTGTATTTACCCCTTTTTATAGTAAAAAAAGTATACCACTTTTTATAAGTGGGGAGCTAAGACTTAGAAGCTAAATAGTGGCTCAAATTACAGGGCTCATTTCTTGCAGAGCTGCCTCTCAAACCCAGATAGTACCTATTCTATAAGCTCTGAATGCTAAAACTGGTTCTCTTCATACTTCGTCATTGTCAATTTCCTTTAATAAGATTATTTGTGATAAGACTTAGTGGTTTGATGATAAACTCATATGCACATTTAATCTTCATGCTGTAGAGTTGTTCTATCCAATACTGTAGGAACTAGCTATTCATGGATATTAAATTAATTTTAAAAATTTAAAAAATATAGTTCCTGTTGCTTAGCCATGTTTCAGGTGCTCAGCAGCTTTATGTAAGGCAAGTGGTTATCACATGGCAGGTTATGGAGAGATTCTAAGCAGAGGCTTTGCTTACCCTGAGCAAATAATTTGGACAAAATAATTTCTGTTAGTCTGATTTTTCATAATCATATTATTATTACCATATTTGGTAATAATAATAATGTCCCTACATCATAGAGGTATTATCTTGGTTAAATGAGATTACATATAAAATGTCTAGCAAAGTGCCTGCCACTGATGAGTTCATAGACATTAGGTGCCATTGCTGGTGCTATATTAGAGAGCATTTAGGAAGCATGTTGAATCTACATTTGTAATTATAAAATATCTAGTTTGGCTGGCTGGCTGGCCCCAGAGTAAAAGAAGTTCCTTTTGCTCTGGGCTGTAGGTCCAGATGAACAATATGAGACACATATATCCTAGTTGTATTTATCACTTTCTGGATTCCTTCTTCAATCTGCTACTGCAAGGGTTTTAAGGGAAAGTATCTTACTTCAAGTTATTTATTTGCTTTAATTTTGTTTACTTTCTGGAAGAACTGCTTGGCCATTAGTTCAAGATTTACAAATGGGGACAATCTAGCAAGCAATGTAACATCAATGCTCTTCGGAGTTAATCCCATTTAAGGATGAACCTAAATGGGGAATCTAACATTTTAGTTTAAAATGATGAACCTAAAATTACCCAGGCAGGGGAGGCAGCTGCCAGAGAAGTCAAGGATTTAAATTCCAGGACACCTGAACTCTGCTCTGTTGTCCAGCAGGCTTCCTCTAGGGAAAATGCTTTTCTCCCATCACACATTTCTTCATGACCTGAAAGAGATGGTGGAACATCTGTTGTTCATTCCAATTCTCATATCAAGAGATGAGTGATGCAAGTTTCTCTCACAAGCTGGGCAGCTCTCCCTAGGCAGTCTCTTCCCTTCTTCCCTGTGGGCTGAAGTGAATTTCAAGGTTTCTTCTTCATCTTGACAGCCTTTGCCGCAGAGCGACAGTGATGGAGAGGAAGCTCCCTGTGCGTTTCTCAGGCTGGGTAGAAGACCAGTAGAGTGTCCATTTGTCCACTTCTTGTAGTTAAGAATTAAAACTACAAGATAAGATAATCAATTATCTTACATTAAGTGTTTCTTGAACACTTTAGATAGCCCATGGAATCTTTGGAAGTTGAGACTTAGTGATTCCCATCCCTCTCCTCCCAAGATTACTCAAACTGCTTAGAGTTGCTGAAGAGAGAGCTTGAGACTTCTCCCCCCATTTCCAGATGTGCGCATCCCTGTCTCCTCCCGTGTGTGTTGCTGAAGGACTTGTGTTACTGGCTCACGGCTGTTCACTTTTCAGTTACAATGCTTCAACAGTTTTTTCTTTTTTTAAAAGTAGGATTCAAGGAACAGCACCTAGTCCATTATCAGGATGACTTTTTATTTAAATTGACATATTTGCACTGTTAAATGCCAAATTATAAAAGGGAAAATATTCATAACTGGTTAGGAAGGCTTGTGTTTCTCAGAAGGTCTCAACCACTCACTTTAAAATATAAAATATTATGCTTTAATATTGTCTAATAAAGGCATCTTTTTTTCTGTCAGCTCATTCCAGTCCTCCTTACAACCGCACAGCACAGGCAAGAGGAAGGAGTGTATCAGGCAGCGGGAAGTTGGGACCTTTAGATTTTTCTGCAAGTGTAGTGGCTTTATCCATTTGTTCTGGTTACCTAGGAAATGGGAGTGGGATGGAGAGTGTTTCCGACTGAGTTTCGAGTAGTATATCTTCGTGAGTCACCTACGTGCACACACATGATAGAATTGTCACAGTCTTAAGTTTTCCTTTTTTAGGGTGTATGGATGGTCCAAAGAATATTGAGTAGATTAGAACTGTTCCTCAGTGCAATCAGAAATTAAGGGAATCCTTCCCTTTCCATCTATCATATTGAAACTATCAATTAAAATATTCTTAGAAAGGTCATAGAAGCTTACTTTTATTTGTGAATGTATTTTCACAATTGAAGAAAAAGTACAGTAACTCAACTGGGTGATTGATGTCTGAATTTTTAACCTGAAAGCATTTTTTTGTTGTTGTTCTTGTTTTGCCAAAAAGTATTGGGAAAAGCCACAATGTTGTGTTTAAAAACATGCTCCAGCTTAAATGGACATTTCTCCAATGAAAGGACGCAAATGACCAAAAGCACATGAAAAATCTGCTCAGTGTCATTAGTCATTAGGGAAATGCTGATCAAAACCACAATGAGATGCCTTACCAGGATAGCTTCATGTTAATCAGGGTAGCCATGACAAAAAAGTCAGATAATAACAAGTGTTGTCAAGGCTGTAGAGAAATTGGAAGGCTCATATATCACTGATAGGAATACAAAACAATTCTTTGGAAAACAATTGATGTAAAACACATGTTCAT